CAACCCTCAGGCCGTCTTCACTGCCGCCATTGTTGGGCACCGATCTTCCTCCTCTCTTTCTCTCACCTCTTCTTCTACGTCTCTGTAGCTCAAACCCTCCGTTGCATCAACGGCTTCAAGTACCAGCGTCGCTGCCACAAACTCACACTCGGCCTCGCTACACACAAGCTCCGTTTCATCAAGTCACGAATCTCCGCCGGAGATTACGGTGGTGGTGGCGGAGAAGACGAGGTCTCTGTCTCTGCCTCTGCTGCTGCTTGGGATCTGGAAGTTCCGTATCAAGAGCCACCAGATAGCTACTTTGGCAAGTTTAAGAGAAATTGGGCTCTCTATTTTGGGTTCTTGATCCTTGTTTACACTTTCATGATCTCTTTCTCCGTCGTCATTCTCTGTTTCTAAAGATCACTCTTTAGAGTGACAGTGGCAATTTCGTTAATTTTGTAAAATTATTCTGTTTCTTAAGGGAACACAAAAAAAGTTGTAAGCTTTCAAAATCTGGAATTACAATGGTTTCTTCCTTAATATCGATCATGTAAAATATCGAAAGTGGTCACATAGAAAGGTGGAAACATTTGATTCCATTCCTCTCTTATTCATCTAATGTCAGAGAATCCCAAGTTACCAAAGATTCTTTCTTTATAAAGAGATTGAAATGTAAGTAAAGACAATTAGCATTAATAAATCAATTAATCACGAGTTAATCTTCTTCACAGACAAACACAAAAACAAATCAAATGTCAGAATCTGACAAAAGAAAGAAATATTCATAGGGAAACAAAAACACAGCAGCAAGGTTGATATGTTTGAATCTAAATGCTAAATCAAAGATCTCGGCTAGGAGTTGTTGTTGTTGTTAGCTCCTCCTCCTCTACGTATATCCTCGCTGCTCGACGGTTCAACCCCGTACTCGCTGCTTGCACCGTACTCATGGCTATCCAACGCCACTTTCCTGAACTTCCTCATATCCGCACTGTAAGTGCTAGAGTCATAGTCCGAGCTCGACCCCCTCCCGAGGAACGAGCTCTGTCCCGGTTTAGCTCCTTCGTTTAGATCGTCTAGCGAGGCATCTCCCTCTAGAGCCCGAACAATCTGTTATAATCAGAGAATGAATAATTCAGAACTCGGTAGTGTGATATGATTCTTTTTTTTGTTTTAAAACTTACTTGGCTCATCTTAGGCCTGCGTCTAGCTGAGTGTCTGATGGCTGCAGCGGCACAAGACACCATCCGTGCCATCTCATAAGGTTCGTATTGGTTCTCGAGCCGTGGATCAACTAGTTCACTGTAATCTCCATCTTGAGCTGCGTTTAAGCATAAGGGTCTTGCCTGTGTAAGAAAAGTAACAGAGTTTGTATAGGTCATCAAGCCACAAAGATTATAACAGAGGAAAACATATTATGTGTTATGTGGTACTGACCCAATCGACCAAACTGTCTTCCATTTCACCAGTGAGATCTACAGGTCGGCGTCCGGTAACAAGCTCAAGAAGCATCACTCCAAAGGAGAAAACATCTGATCTGTCTGTGAGTTTCCCGCTTGACGCATACTCTGGAGCCAAGTACCTATCATTTGATTCAGAATTTAGAGAAGCAGATTCTTGGATGAGATTAGAAATCAAGAAATGTTTTCATAAACTGGTTTCGTGTTTCTTTATTACCCGAAAGTTCCCATGATACGCGTTGACACATGTGTAACGTTGTCTTGAGATAGCTTCGCTAATCCGAAGTCTGCAACCTGCAGATTTGAGCCAGTCCAGTTACAAAGAAAGAAAGATATATTAAAGAATCTAAAAACATTAAGACTTATAATCATAAGCATACCTTGGCTTCAAAGGATTCGTCAAGAAGAATGTTTGAAGCTTTAATGTCTCTATGAATGATTTTTGGATGACCTGAGTCAACAAAATCAAGAAAACAAAGATTTATCACAT